CAGATATCCTATAGGCCGGATAAGGGGCCAGATATCCTATAGGCCGGGTCAGGGACCAGATATCAGGTCCATGCTGACATCAGACTGGTCCATGCTCTGTTTCTGTCATCCTGGGAAGCCATGCCGTTTGTTCTCGTAGTCCATTAACTGTCTTTCATTGAATATGATACATGAAACTGTTTATTCATTAACATACAAATATTCATTTCCATAGCTGGACTACAGAATAATGATATTTTAAAGATGCCCCTTGTATTTGTGGCCTGATCTGGACCTCTGAGTGATCCGTTTACCTCCCACAGCTCCTCGGCCCTCCGGCCCTGGCTGGTATCGCTACAGTCGTATTGATCTTTCCTTTGAATGGGTTCATTGCTAAAGTCAGAAGCAAACTTCAGGTAGGTAAACTGTTGAATGTTAGCCTTTTTTCAGTTTACAGGCTAATCTTAAATATTTGTGATAAGATACTGATAAGAGTTAATATGCTTCTTGGTTTCTCAACAGGAAGCTCAGATGAAGTTTACAGACAGTCGGATCAAACTGATGACTGAGATATTGGGTGGAATAAAAATTCTCAAGTTTTACTCATGGGAGGAAGCGTTCCTGAGACGCGTAAACAACCTGAGAGATGGAGAGCTCAAAGCCTTAAAGACATCTCAGATACTTCACTCTGTTTCGCTGGCTTCCTTTAACTCCTCCTCCTTCCTGGTGAGACTGCAGCCGATCAACAAACCTGAACTCGACTGACAGTGACACCATCATTGCAGCAGCCTTTTTTTGGAATTTGACTTTATAAATTTGGATATAAAATATCAGCAATAATGATATTATTGCATGATTACAGCATGAGAATTGTTAGTCAAAATATAAAATCCTGGATAAAAATCTATCCATTTATGAATTATAAAGAAATAGGTAACAAGAGACAACAAGATAAACAAGCCAACACATTAACTGAAAAAAAAAGAAAGAAAGGAATCTCTAATTGCAAGTTCCACATTTACCCCACTGTGAGGAAAATTCCTGTCTCAAACTTGAGAGGCCTTGTCTTTCTCTCCACATTTCAGATTGCCCTGTCAGTATTCACAGTCTACGTATTGATCGACAATCAAAATGTTCTGGATGCTCAGAAAATCTTTGTTTCTGTCACTTTGATCAACATTCTGAAAACTCCCCTGAGTCAGCTTCCATTTGCCATGAGCACCACCATGCAGGTAAGTCCCAGCCAATCACAGCCCTCAAATGAATATGGTTGTCACGATACTAAAATTTTCAACTCGATACCGATAATCAGGAAAATACTCGATACTCAATACCATTTTCGATACCACAAGGATAAAAACAAAGACCCCAAAATTTAACTGAATTGTGTCTTTCATTTCAAACTGACCAGTTACTGATGTTATGGTGGCCCACATTAATGACCCTAACCCTATCCCTCCAGCCTTCATAATAGTGAGAAATAAATATTTTTTGGTTAAACTTGTTTGGACTTATTGTACAAACCTATTTAACATCCACTATTTTAACATAATAATATGGATATAGTTTAATTCAGTGTTTGCTAGATAACTTTCACTATTTTTAAATTAATGTCTATATTGCCATGAAGCAATTAGGATTTTCTTGCCTGGGATCTTCCTATTGGTGACCTAATCAAAATGGCCGACTTGGATGTGGGTGGAGTTTGATATGTACTTGATTAATGTTAGCATGTTGTTATTAGCCATTAGCCGCAGCTAGCAAGGCTAACGTCTTGTTAATGATCATAAACAACGTAAATAAATACATAAATAAATCAGAGAGAAGGGGCGTGCGCGGTGGTATCGATACTTTTGAAAATGAGTATCGTATCCGGATACAACATTTTAGTATAGATTTTTTTTCGAGTATCGATACTTTTGACAACCCTACAAATGAACAACCTCAACCTTTAACAGGAAGTCAGATGGTTCCTCCAGACAGGACTGGGGGTCGGTGTGTACTTCAAAGTACACCCAGTTTTCTGTTCATCATTCTGAACCCTGCAAAGTGCTTCATTGTTTTTTGTAGAGTGCAGGTGCTGAAAGACAGAGGTCAAAGGAAGAACTAGTCATGTGCTCTCTTCTGAGGTTAGGGTTAGGGTTAGGGTTAGAGCTGGGTTAGGGTTAGAGCTGGGTTAG